CATTCCAATTCATTTTTCACCGGTAGTTTCAACCGCTCTTACCTATGAAATTTTAGGGTATATACATATATATGTATTTGTGCCTTTCTCGACCTTCGTTACTTTTGATCTATTAGGAGATCAGTGAGAGGTAATATTACTCACGTGATGTTAAAGTTAGTGCAAGGTTTAGGTTTTGACCCCATAGCTGCTCATTGATACTCAAAACTACATATGATTTATATTTGATATTGTGTTCATCTCTGAGACATCTACTAGCCTTTAAAGCAACTTGTCATTAACGTGGTCGGCCAATAGAGGCTCTCCTACGTGACGTGATATTTTTATTGACACTAAACCACTGAAAAAAATTTCATGGACCCTAAACCGCTATGCCAGCCCAGCCGTCCTGAATCAGAAATTTAGAAATGGCTTCAGTAGTAGTCAGCGACATTATTCTTTACGGCTCTCTACCACTTAAGGGGAGGGGATGATGTGAATGCTGGCGTCTTGGATTGCTTCAGCGGTAGGTTGAAGCAGCGAACAGCTATGCAATTCTGTTCAACTCAAAATCCTTTCAGGTCTATTTCGGTCCATGCGTTCCATACGAGTATCGGCTACAAGGTCCTCATCCTTGGTCTGGAGCTCGAGATGCGATAATGAACGTTGATGAGAGGGTATTCAAGGTAAAGGTGTTACATTCGATCCTGCAAAAGCATCAAAGACTGCAAGGAATTTCCTATCGCTAGGCGTGTCAATTCGTAGTTTCTGGTGCTGGACGCCTATCAACCGATAACGCTAAACTGCTCGTTCTGTTCACTTAACTTAAAGAAGTGGCAGCTAAATGGGACACTAGTTATCCAGTTGATAACGACATGCAACGCTTTTCAATGTGATTTTATTGAATTGTAAAGCCTAAGTGCCTGGAAAAAATGATTTGATTATTTGCTAATTTGCTGCATGCGATTTACTCATCGGCTGCACTCTTGAACTGCTTGCAAATATGAAAAAATTTTGTCCACGGTGAAACCTAGACCAGGAACCTTCTTTCGCCGCATCGAATTTCGCCGCGCGGCAAACTGCGCGGCGAAATTCGATGCGATTTGGACGACTGCGGCGTTTATCATTGGGGCCCAAATTTCATGTAAATTAGGGTAGTGCCCTAATGATAGGCGAGGAGTTGTTTGAATCGTCGCGAATTTTGCCGCGCAATTTGCCGCGCGCACCCGGAATCGCACGAATCAAACGTCCCCCTACTCACCCAAGCGCCACTTAGAGAATACTTTCTGCAAGAAATAGCTACAGTAGCGCTCAAAAGTCTTCGGCCAAAAGTTACTACGCTTTTTCGTTCATAACTTTATTCTTGGTGGAGCAAATCGCGGGAATTTTGGATATGTTCAACTGAAGCATATTTCACGCTATCAAACACTACGTGGCTGCAAAGCTGCAATATCTACATAACTAGAGCAAGGTGTTTGTTGCGGTAGCAGTTTTCGCTAGAGCAAAGTTATTGACGTCTGCAGTTATTCGCACCTTATGTGCGTTTTTCTCATCTATTGTGTTCTGCCTGAGTGCTCTTACACTTGAGACATGGCAGAAAACAGAGAAATCCCAAAAGGACCATCATCCGTATTCCCAGTTGATTTTGAGTTCGAGCTCTACAATATACTGTAATGTGATCAGATTGCAGGTTAATAGCAGTAAATATTCACAATGCACCCATGCTACACATATCGAAATTTCACATGATTAGATCCAGTAGGAGAGGAGTTACGATTGAAAAGTTCGAGTGAAGAAACATTTGACTGAAGGCCTTTGAGCGCTACTGTAAGAGTTTTGGCCTAGTGATAGCTTCTACAGATCTCTATATACATTTTGTGACAGCTCCATTTCACATTTTATGCGACAATGATGCTCGCCAAATAGTACGCCGCAAGTCGAGTAATGTTAGGCTCGACAAACTCCATCCAGTTCCCACTGCCACCGAAGGAACTTGACAAAAAAGCCGTCGGCGAGTATCTACTGGTTGTTCAGCGAGTGGCCATGCTAGGTGCATCTCACAACATGATCAATTCTTTTCTCTTCGGTGGTTTCACGTCGTCAGGAATCTTCTCATAAGGTCGACGAAGAGTAGCTGTGAACAAGGATATTGGACCGACGCAGATCTTAGGATGGCCACTAAAGGCTCATTTGAATGCTTCGGAGCGTTGAAGAATAAGATGCTATGGATTCCGCAAAAATCAAGAGACTATAGAATCTACAATGTCTGACACCACATTTCGGTCACAACTGTCAGATCTTCGAAAAATCAGGGATACGAAATTTTTTGTCGCTCACAACACTCACCAGACCTTTCTTCCACGAATTTGTCCATCAAATCCTATTTACATTCTAGAAGGTAAAGAAGTCGAGGATGAAAGCCTGTCCGAAAATTGTTCACAACGATTCATCAGCTCAGCAACGCCAGCAATCTGTTTGGCTGAAGTTCAGAAACCTGCTTCGAGTTGGCAACAGTGTATGAGTGCCGACGGATTTCAGGAGCTAGCTTTGCATTGGCAACGTTGTATAAATAGATGCTGATTGTTTGCTACATTAAATGAATTCGTTTGCTATTGACTTTGATTTGAACTCGGAACGAGTTCACTAACAAAGCCTTTACCACCCACATTCCCCCTCTCTCTGGGACAAGTTTGTCCTGCACATCTGAGCCTTTTTCTACGTAAAGAGTTCGTGGATCAGGGCCTGTCTGAAATTGTTGATAGCAATTTAACAGCATATCACAACTGTTACAACTCGAAAACATCGCTTTAGCAACAATGTGCATATACAGGGTGTCTCAAAAAACTTCTGAGCACTTCAATGAAGGTAAATTGAAAGGGGAAATATAGATGCAGACTCCTGTTTAAAGGATAAGTCGCAGAAGACAGACGCACGGGACGATTCAAGCTCGCAAACGTCCAATGTAGTGGCTCATCACTATGAAATGAAATTATCTAAAAACTCAAAGTCATGTTTTAAGACTTGCTCGACCTAGGTGACAATTAGTCATCAATTTGAGCATTCTCAAACACAATAATTTTTTTACATTTACCCTCTGGTTCCACCTCGAAGTTTGATTACATTTGAGTCAGAAATCATGTCATGCAAAGGTGGTGCATCTCAGGAGGAGTGAACGGCCTCAGTAAAAGGAGTTAGTCCAAATGGAGGCAAAAAGGTCATGGAAATTGGGAAGGCGCAAGGTTCTACTGCAACGTAGCAAGCACTAAAGTAAGCTACGGTTTCAAAGCAGTGACAGGGTCCCTCAAGGAATCTGTATCCGCTGTCATAAGGATCTGTGATGAAATCATGGCTGCGAGGGTGTGTGAGAAAAGAAACCCTCAGAAGGTGAACTGCAGAGAGACAAACTGAAGTCGATCATGCATTCGTGTGGAGGTAGTCCCTCAAAACTGTGTGGCATACAAGCACTGCTTGGCGAAGATCTGGTTTCACAGCACGGACCTCTCCTAGCAGAGGTAGCAATTGGGCTTGTCAAAAAAAAGGGCAAAAAAGGGGGGGGGGATTTGACGGTGAAAGCAGCACCAAGCCGATGACGAAAGCCCTTAACGGTATATAGCGAAAAGTGGTTCCATATCTCCGGCGACCGTCTGTGCGTAAGGGGAGCAATATGGGAAATCCAGAGGCAGACGAGAGTTGCGTTGCTTTATCTCCTCTCAGCCTATCTCCCACCTTGATAAAACCAAGCTAGCAGTAAGTTAGAAGAAAGTCACCCCGAAGTGCTAGCAAAAGGACAGCTCTGGGTCTTAGACTTAGACTTAGTTCCTCCCGTGCTGGAGAGCACATCGGGCGA